AACACAGACTAAACAAAAAATTTTGCTGTACAAAACTAATGAATGAAACAGAATTTTTTTACTGTTTATTTGTAAAGAAAATTTTAACCAAGCAATGCTTCCTTGGATCTTTTTACAATATTCCTGAAAGATCATTACTTCTTAGAGTTAGCTTATATACTGTGATCATTTCCACTTAGAGTTAGCTTATATACTTGGTACAGAATTAATCATATTTCCGTATCACTTTTCTTAAGAATTTGAAGTGGTTAAATATAAGCTGTTAGGTTAGTTGGGCAACAATACACCTAATTGAACCTAATGTATCTTTATTTTGTCGAATTTTTTTTTTTTTTTTTCTGAAAAATTATGTAATTTTTAACAAATAAAAAAAGTATTAATTTTATTAAAAAATCTATTTATATTTAAAAAAAAAATCGAACTATATAATTTTTTACTTGTAGTTCTTTATTTTCTAGTAAAGTTATTGGATATTATTACAGAATAAAAGCAAATTAAAAATTAAAAAAAATATTATTTAATTTAAATTTTTTTTTTTCAGCTGTGGTTATTTTTTTTTTGAAAAAGTAATAATGATTTCAAATATCTTTTTGCTATAAGTTATACCAGTTATGCACTATAGTTGTATGTATGTATGTATGTATGTATGTATGTATGTATGTATGTATGTATGTATGTATGTATGTATGTATGTATGTATGTATGTATGTATGTATGTATGTATGTATGTATGTATGTGTAAGTTTTTTGGAACACAGCACTATATTTATTGTACACTAGCACAATAAATACAATTATGATCAATTGGTATGAAAATTAAATAGAAATGTTTTAAACTCCTAGGCACCAATATTATTCTCTAAAGCTGCTGAAATTTTTATCAGTGAATTAACACTAAGAGCATGGATACACACTGAAGATAATAAAAGGCGCACTTTACAGGTATACTTATTTATAATAAGCTTTTATATTACATTTTTATTATTTCTTTTATTTACTTTAAAAGAATTATAAGTAAAGTAAAAAAACAAAAAAATTTTAATTCAAAAAATAATTTTTGTTATGTATGTATAACAAGTGTGACTCATGCAACTAAGTTACAAGCTTAACAATGGGTTTAATAATTAGAGACTTATAGGTTACAAGAATGCCAATCTTGTGATTACTACGAACAACAGTTTTATACTATTTTGTACAAACACTAAAATATATAAGTACTATTTATACTATTTTACATAAATTTATAGAGAAATGATATTGCAATGGCAATAACTAAATATGATCAGTTTGATTTTCTTATTGATATTGTTCCAAGGGAAGAATTAAAGCCGGTAAAACGTCAGGTGAATATTTTTTTAATTTGATAGAAGTATAAGTAAATAGAATATTTTTTTTAAATGATTCAGAATTATTTTATATCTGAGTATCAAACTTTAGCATGTTTATACTTGAGGCATGTCAGAATGTTTTAATGTTTATTTTATGTTTATACTTGAGGCATGTCAGAATGTTTTAATGTTTATTTTATGTTTTTGCATTCAGTAGGTGAAGCTTTTTAGGGTTTTTTGCTTCCTGGCTCTAATTAACACAATTTTTAGTAAAAATATATGATATAAAAGTTAAGTTAAAAAATAAAGATTATTAATACAAAGGTTTAGAGAACTTGCCTATAAGTTAGTCAACTCAAATACTTAAAAATTTTGGGTCTACTTCTAAAATACTTAAAAACATTTTTTTTTTTTTTTATTATAGGAGGATACTCTTCGTCACCAAGTTAATGTCCTACCACCAGAGCAGGTGCAGTATTATTTTCAACTTTCACAACTTCAGCAAAATGCATCCTCTGGGAGCACATCACAAGCACAAATAGGGCATTTGCCACCAGGGGCTCACATTATTCAACAAAATGGTCAGGTTATTATTGCAGCCCAACCTCATCAGATTGCTGCTTTAGCTGGTGCAACTTCCAACGTAAGGTGTTTTTAATTTATTCACTTATTTGTATTTTACTTTAAGTTTATTTGTTATACAAGATGAGTTTATATTTAATTATTTATTTGAGATTTATATTTAACTAACCACTATTTAACTTGGAAGTTAATAGAGAATATTTTTGAATAGAAAGAAAATGGTTGAAAGAAGACTTAAAAAACTGAAAATTGTAGGATATCAAGAAAACAAAAAGAAAACAAAACCAATTTTTGTTAATTCACCTCCTCAAGGCCGAGAAGGCCACTACAGGCGAGGAGGCTTCCTATTTGTGATTATAACCCTCTCTCAAATCTATAACTCTGAAACACGAACTTTGACGAACAAGGTTGCTGCGCAGAGAAACAAGTTGAGCGCGGTACTACCTGGGGCGTGGCGGGGATCAAACTCGGAACCTCTTGCTTATGAAGCAAGAGCTCTATCACTACACCACTACCACATATTATATATATATATATATATATATATATATATATATATATATATATATATATATATATATATATATATATATATATATATATATATATATATATATATATATATATATATATATATATATATATATATATATATATATATACACACACACACATACTTACATATAATACATATATATGTATAAATTATGTTGTTCAGATTCATCAAGAAGGTCAGCAAGAACATCATATAAATGAATCTGAATCATCTCATCAACATCAACATCAATCCGTAGAGCAACAAATTATTCAACCAACGCAAGGAACTTCTCAGGTTTTTTTAAGTTACTTTTTATATTTAATATAGTGAACTATATGTGTAAGTTACTTTTTATATTTAATATAGTGAACTAATTGTGTAAAATCTGTAAGTATAGAAAGAGATTTACAAAATATAAAAAAAATCAATGACTAAAATAAAATACTTTGGTTTTATTTTCAAAATAAAATTTTTTAATGTTATTTAAAATAGAAAATATCGATTGAGTAGAATCTGTTATTTAACAGATTCATTGAAACAATTTTAAAATAATAATTGGTCTAGTAAAATCTATTATAGGTACAATCTGAGTGACCTCTTTTGAAAATAATAATTGGTTCAGAAGACTAAAAAAGTTATAGGTTGTACTGTTGGGAAAACATTAAGATGGTAGAGATTTCCAAAGGCTTAATGTGCAAGGAAAAAAGCTAGAATAAAAAAATTTTTGAGCATGAAGGAACAGATCAGTTAAGGATGTAACTGACTGATATTTTATGCAACTCTGAATGAGGAGTCAAGCGAGAATGAGTTTTGGAAACTAAAGATGATAGCTCGAACTACATTTACAATGCAGATTTAGACTTTGACTAGATGAGAAAGATTTATATAAATGAAAGAGTATCATTAGATAAATGAAAACAACGCAGGTAACAGGGATTAATAAGAGATTTAGAGAAGTAGAGAATGGAATTTGTAGCTTTAGCTGTTTAAGTTTTTTTGGTTCCAAAGCTGTTACAGAAGATAGATCAGCTTCAAGAACAACTGCCTGTTTTAGGCTACCAAAGAGTGAAAATTTTTTGTCAAGACAGGAGTAAAAAGTTGAGTTGTCAGCAAATAGAGCCGCTTTAAATGTAAAAAATAGGCGGACAAATGATTACTTACATCTGTACTTAAACTATAAAAAGAACATGAATCAATTTGATTTTATTAACAGCTATAGAACTTTTGTAGTTGTAGTGTACTTTTATGTTGTGTAGATTTTTTGTATTTACTATGATTTTGAAACAGAAGTATGTTTTTTATAAATTAACTTTTACCTAAGATGGTTAACCGAGACAAAATATTTCAAACATGAAGAGCAAAGAATTTTTGATGATTAGTGTGGATTTTTATATTATAATTGTCATTTTTCTGCAAATTATCACTTTTTTCTGCAAATTATCACTTTTTCAATACTAGTTATTAGTAATATTGTCATCTAAAGATGGTTTCACAAAAAGTTTGCTTCAGACAAGTAAAATTTCACTAAAATCATCGTTAGCATTTTTTTATTAAAAAAGAAGAGTTATTTTATTTCGTTGAGTTATTACACAAAAAAAATGTTACCTGGCAATAGTATAACTTATAATTTTATACTTTTTTATATAGTTAATTTTAAATTTTTTTAGTTTTAACTTTTTGATTATATCAAAGTTATCAGTTATTCTTCATCAAGAGTTTTACTTTTATATATTTTTAGATACATCAGAATTCCTCACGGCACTCTTTATCGAGGGTTTTAACTTTATATTTTTTAGATACATTATATCAGAATTCCTCAGGGTACTCTTCATCAAGGACAAAACTTAACTCAAATTTTGCAGTTACAACAACTACAACAGCAGCAGCAGCAACAGCATTCTTGTAATTCTCAATCATCCACTGAAAATCAGAACAATTCTGTAAGTAATGCTCGCCAACAAGAAGCTGTTTATTCTCAAGTATGTTTACATTACATAAAGCATTAAAATATATTTTTATAACAATATTTATATTAATATGTTTTTTTTAATTTTCGTTTTAATATATTAAGATTTATTCTCTAGATATATCAGTCAATTCAGGGTTTACCATCTGGAGCTGTGTATGTGATGGCTCAACCAACTAATTCGCAAGTTTCTGGATTAAATCAGTCATAATAACTAATTTACCTTTTGATGGTATTGCTAATTGATTGTAGCAGCGTGTAGTATAGCATTGCATTTGTTATAGTATGCAAATTGCATGGCATCCTTGCTACAATGTATGGAGTTGGAATTTAGTTATAAAATTAGGACATTATTTTATATCCATACAATGTTATAGAGTTCACCGATACCCAAAAGTAACACAAAAGTTACGCAAAATTGCTAGCTACTGAATTCTAGTTCTAATTTATTAATTTTGTTGATATTTAAATCATTTTAGTGTTAATTTATTCATTTTGATGATATTTTATGGTAATTTATTAGCAGATTATTATATAAGCCGTTTTTTGTTTTTGTTTGAAATAAATTTAAGTAAAGATTCCTAAATTTTACTCATTTACGCTTTTGTCAAATAAAGAAGTATATCAAAAAAAAAAAAAAAAAAAGAAGCAGTGGTTAAAGCCTCGGAAATATCAAAAAAACTAGAATGTTGCCCTCTTTGACCTATTAAGTCAAGATATTAAAGCTTGCTTTATTATTCGAAAACTTTGTGTAATGTTTTTGATCCCCCAAATACGGAAAATGTAAATTTCAAATACCAAAAAGGCTGGCGTGATCTTGTGGCGTATTGCCTTAATGAAGTACTCCTACAAAAAATACTTCAATACAATTACAAGCTATGCTTTTAAATAAAGTTATACTTTTATAAGCTATACTTTTAAATTGCTTTATATGCTATACTTAATGATATCATTTTTTTTTACTGTCGATTACTGACATCTATTATGCCGTTAATAATGGACAATGCCAGATGGCATTAAAGAATGTCAATTTGGCAGTATTTTGATGTTTTAAAACTTTAGACTCTTTAGTCAAGCCCTTTTTAAATTTTTGCCGTTTTAACGTGTAGAAAATTCTGGTAACAGACCAAAAGTTTTTTGTGCATGATGTAATTCAAAGATAAGGTTGTTATTTATGCTTAATATGTTTTAGCTTTTTGATCTGTTTTTTTTTTTTGTTGTTTTGTTTTTGTCTCTTGATTTGTTGTTATTTTGTTTATTTTAAAGATAGCATTATTAATATATTTTAATTTTATCGAAAAGAAGTAACACCCTGCCTGATGTTAAAAGCGGGTCCGGCGAATTAATTTGGATCCGCATCGTATCGGGATTTTAGTTGTTATAATTGTTAAAAATGTTGATTAGATATTAAAAGCATTTTTATTAAATAGACTATATAACCACAGATAAATGTGTGAAATGAATTCCTTGTAATTTTTCCTATTTAGATTTAATTTTTATTACTCACTTATGTTAAATTTCTTCGAAAACTTATGGCAATCTTTTCATCATTATCTATTATCCAGCCACATTAAAGGCCGCGGGTTGCTTCATCGACCATTAGTCCAACCCTCCAGCTGTATAACTTTTTACTATTAATAAAGCCGATTAAAATACAAACAAATGTAAAGTTTAAAAATTTTTATAAAATAATTACAATTCTCTATTTTCATTTTAGTTTTTTGAAGTTCCTTTAATTTTGAAAATTAGTTCGTATTTATTAAAAATTAGTTTCAAAATGGTTGTTAAATTTTAGTTAAAATGATAGTCAAAATTTAGTCGAGTTTAGTCAAAATGGTATTTTATTTAAAACAACAAAAAATCAGGGGCGAATTATAACTCAGGCTATCGAGACACGTGCCTCTGGCCCTCGAATTTTGTTAACACGCTTTGAAAAAGCACGCTTTTTTACTTGAAGTATTTAAAATCATGTGGCATTAAATAAAATGAGCAAAAAAACAAGATAAATTTCCGTAATAACATATGTTCCTTTTGATACATTACAACAGTTGCAAAACTCCGAAACTGCTATGAGTGACTCAGTTGAAAGTTTGCTGCTGAGACTACTCTGTAACAACTTTTGTATTCAGAAATATATATATATATATATATATATATATATATATATATATATATATATATATATATATATATATATATATATATATATATTATATATATATATATATATATATATATATATATATATATATATATATATATATATATATATATATATATATATATATATATCAGTAAAAATCTATATATGAAAATCTATCAGTAGATATAGCTTTTTTAGACTTTGCCAAAGTCTTTGACTCAATTGTACATAAGAGACTATTATTAAAACTACAATCCTATGGGATCCAAGAACAATTATTATGTTGGTTTGAAAGTTTTCTAAGCAGACGAACACAAAGAGTGGCTCTCGGTGAGATAACCTCTGAGTGGAAAAAAAGTAATATGTGGAGTACCACAAGGATCAGTTATTGGATCCTTTTATTTGTCATATATATAAATGATTTAACAAGTGATAGTGAGTACATTCGATATGATTCAGCAAAATGCTATAGTTATGGAAGAAACCACGCTAGAGAGTGATCTTGGTGTAATGATATCAAACGACGTCAAATGGAAAAAGCATATCAACACAATTGCGGCAAGAGCTAATAGAAAGCTCGGTCAGATAAAGAAATCTTTTTGTCGATTAGATGAAATTTTAATGAAACATTTGTAAACGTCATTGGTTTGTCCACACCTGGAGTTTGCGGTGCCAGAATGGAACCCTAACTACCAAAAAGATTTTTCAATTTTATTGATAAAATTGAAAAAATACAACGTAGGGCTACACGAATAAATAGTTTAAGAAGTTTTTGCTACGAAGTTAGACTGAAAAAATTTAACTTGACTACTTTGAAAACAAGAAGAGAAAGAGGCAATTTGATTCAATTTTATAAAATAAGTAAAAATATGGATAAAGTTTAATGAATCATCGTCCTAAAATAATTAAATATGCAATAACAAGAGGTCATACTCAGAAAATACAAAAACAATTCACACATTCTACCACAAGATTTAACTTCCTTACAAACAGAATGATTAACAATTGGAATAATTTAACAGAGGAGATAATTAATTCTGAAAATATGAACATCTTCAAAAATAAGTTTGATCGTTTCGAAAAAAACAAAATAAAAATTTAAAACAAACAAAACAAAATACAAATATAAAATGTAAAAAGAAGAAAAAAAAATACAATTGCAACAGCTGCCAAATTTTTAAAATCTACAGATGTTAGACTCACACATTGTATGTGTACAGCAAAAATTTATTATTATTATTAATATTTTTATTATATATATATATATATATATATATATATATATATATATATATATATATATATATATATATATATATATATATATATATATATATATATATATATATATATATATATATATATATATATATATATATATATATATATATAGGGGAGAAAGCGGCACAGCTAAACACGGGGCACAGTTGAACAAATACATTAAAATCAACACAATTCATTTATCTATGCTCAACTGCGGATGTTACACAGTGTTACGCTTATCATGTTAGTATTTAATTAAATTCGGATAAATATTCTTTGTTTTGAAGCTTGCTGTAAACAAATTGAGATAATTAGTTTTCAATTCACATACAATAACAGTTGTGATTTCTGGTAAGTTTGTCGATATATCATGAATACTTTTGATTTTATCAGTAGATTTGTAACTCACGTATTTAGAAAATGCAACTGTACTCGATGATTTTGTCACATTATTTACTTTGGAATACTTTTAAAACCATAAAGGTCGTGGTCTTGATGACAAAGACTCTAAAGTTGTTTAAAATGTTTATGACGTTATTGACTATCCCCTTATGTATATCTTTAATTTAAGCAATGGAGATTTTCCTGACCGCCTAAAATTAGCACGCATATTTCCGGTATTTAAAAGCGGAGATGACTCGATTTATCTAACTATAGAGACTCCCATGCTTCTCAAAATCATAACATCCTCTACAATAACCAATACGGATTTAAAAAAGGCTACTCAACTGAACATGCTGCAATAAAATTTTACGAAATTTTAAGTGGCTTTGACAAAAACAAACACACTCTTGGAGTATTTATCGACCTTTCAAAAGCTTTCGATACTGTGGACCACGAGATCCTTCTATACAAACTTTATAATTATGGTATAAAAAATAAAAATTTAAAATGGTTCAGTTGCTGTCTAAAAAACCGTAAACAAGCCTTATTTTACAATAAAATATACACTCCCCTTGAAATCGTCACATGTGGTGTTCCCCAGGGGTCTATTCTAAGGACCTCTGCTTTTCCTAATCTATATAAATGACATATTTTTATCTTCCGGTATATTGTTTTCATTCTTTTTGCAGATGACACTCAAGCTTTCTATACCCACTCTAACATTACTGCACTTTTTCATACAGTAATTATTTAATGATGTTCATTGTTAAAAAAAAATCATATGTATTATAAATATTTTATTATATTTGTATTTGGTTTATGTTTTGTTATATTTATTCAACGACAAAAATGGGGCAAGATGATAAGGCTATTGTCTTCTACTTGCTCCAGTCATACATTTCACGGTAAAATGTTGTACAAATTTATATTAATAATGACGAGTATATATAAAGAAACAAATATATATATATATATATATATATATATATATATATATATATATATATATATATATATATATATATATATATATATATATATATATATATATATATATATATATATATATATATATATATATATATATATATATACGCTTTGTCATGGAATTATATATATTGATTGATTGGGAACAATAATTTTTCTTGTACACTGTCTCTTTCTGTAGGCTATTATAATGTATTGTAATTGTAAAATGTCTGGAAGAAAATATGTGAGTGGGACTGTTAAGCAAAAAAAAAAAACCCAGGGCAAATAGGCCAGGGAGAAAAGAGATGTAGCGTGCTCATCTAAAATGGAAACTTTTTTCCATTGTACAGTTCAGAAGCAGAAAAGTAAAAGTTTAAAACCAGAAAGTTAAGATGAAAGTAAAATCAGAAAAGTTCAAAATCAAAAACCAGTTAATCTACAGCTGAAGCAGACGTTGACACTGGACTTGTAAAAGAACAAGAAGTAATAGACCAGCCAATTGTTCATGAAACTGATCAGGGTTTATGAAAATCAATCATGCAATCTCATTTTATCAGCACAGGTGGTATTAAATGTCAACATAAAGATGAAGGATTTTTGCAATCTAGACTCTCGGACAGTAGTAAAAATCGAAACCGGTATTGTACTACTTCATTATTCGACGTCATAAGTTAGTGATAATTTTAATTGTACCTGGCTTTGCTACTCACCATCAAATGAACATGTTTATTGTTTCAAGTGTAAACTTTTATCATTGGATATAAAAAATAGTTCTCCTTTAACACAGAGTTTATTACCTGGAAAAATGGACAAGTCATATATCGTCT